TGAACCATTTAAACTACCAGAAGACCACGACCCCGAAGGCAAAGCCGTGCCAGCTTGGTGGAAACCCTTGCCTAAACCTGGTGAGGGCCAAGCTTCAGCTTCAGGTGGCCGCCAAGGCGCACGCGCCAGGCCACCGCGACCACGATCCTTCGGCAACGTCGATCCGACATCTGGTACCAGCAGCTACGACCTGCTACGAGACGCCCCCGAGCGTGGAAACACGCCTTCTGCGTCTTCTAGCGACACGCCACAGGTAGCGGCCCGCCGCGGACGTCTACAAGGCGTATCACCACCTCTAGACGCAGTCAACACAGGGGATCAACTGCGGAGAGCTACAAGGAACCCTCTTGCCTCCACCGGCTCTGGGGCTCCACGACTACCCGACTGGGCGAGATTTGACATCCAACACAGTCTACAGAGTCTCCGTAGTCACGAACCCCATGTTGTGAAAAAGGAACTCCGAAAACTGCATCTGCGATGGTATCATGCGAAGGAACCAAAGATGAGGCTAATCCTCGAAAAGGTGGGGCTTGATAACGTTCGACTGAACATGATCAAGGAAATCTGCGACACCTGTCGGGAATGTAGAGCATGGGAACGTCCAGGAAACTCAACATTACCATTGGTAAGCCTCCCTGGTAACTGGCCCGATGAAGGGGACATGGACCTCATGTTTTACAAGAAACGGACCATATTTCATATTATGGATCGTTGTATTCGCCTGGCAGCAGGCCTAGAGATTTCCGACAGAGAACGTGACACCATCATCGACGCCTACCACTATTGCTGGATTGCCTATCACGGACCCTTCAAAGTTTGATACTCAGACGGAGAAGGCGCCCTGAATAACGATGCCGCTAAAACCATGATAGCCAATAAGGGCACGGAACTTCGCATCCGTGCACCTGGCCAACACGCGACTTCAATTGAGTCACGAAGCGGCATTCTCAGAGGCGTCCTCCACATGATTGAGGAAGAATTCAATAGACACAACATCCCTGTTGTATTCACTAGAGTATTGGCGGAAGGCATCTTCGTTACTAATGCGTTTACGTTTTATAACGGAGTATCGCCATATCAGGCACACACAGGACGTCAGCTTTCCTTCCTTCCTGATCTCGATACCCTTGACTTTCCCAAGGGACCCGAGACTTCAGGACACGAACGAGAACGTCGTGTAAGGGAAGGCAGCCTCGAAGCCATAACTCAGGCTACTGCTGTAGCCAAGACAAATCGGGCTCTTAGGGCTAAGACGACTCCTGATGGTGCTCGCCTCTACTCATCAGGGGATTTGGTCGACTACCACCGACCTACTGCCACCAAGGACGACCATGGAGGCTGGAACGGCCCATTCCCGGTGATCCGAAACGTGCCTGAAAGAGGACATATTGTTGTCAAGGCAGGATCTCGTGAGGTAATTGTGATGTATCCTGATGCTCGTCACACACTATACATCGAATGTCTCCTCACACGGGAACTCGGCATGGATAATATGGCCATGCAAACCGTCCTTGCTTATGTGGCACACCTCAGCGCAGGGAAACCTGCCAAAGTTTTCGGGTATATCCCCGATTACAAGGGAAACCTTAATCTGTCAGACGACAGCAAGTTTCACCCGCGCGTACACTTAGCACTACAGTATCTCGTACGGAATTACTTCCGAGTAGAACATGTAGTAGCAGTTCGATTGGCTAAGAGTGTGTCAAGCCTACCTGCAGTAAAGTACGCCACCGGGTCTACGCTGATCCACTATGACAACGACATCAGCCCGGCGTTCCACTATTACGAATGCGTGGGCACTGGCTTAAACATTTCTCAGATCACTGGTAGCACTCACTCCAGACTTATTCAATGCTTGACTTCACGTGTCCCTTCCTTAGGATTTCACGACGATTTGGCTAAATATCAGCATCCAAGCAACACGTCTGGAGAACACGAGTCGCCTGGAAACAGGCCTTCTCCAGACACACCAGACGCTTCATCGCCGAGCGAAGGCCGTCTGTCGACAATCTATGAGGAAAATGAGGAACACAATATTGAAGCTATGATGCTGGAAGAGTGGTACGACGAGCTACGTATGGACCTTCATCCTACGACGATTACCGATGATTATCTCTATTGCGTCCCAACAACTATGCTGCCCGACCAGTGTGTTTTGGTTTCAACATTTGTGGACGAAGATGATATTATATCATCAGATATGCTCGGAGACGAGCCGAAATCATGTGAGTCCTGTCTAGTCTCTCTTTGTTCAAACACAGCCGACGAGAGCTACACTCTAGACAGTGATGAATACGGTCCTTACGTTGAACTATGCTTTACATCAGAAATGTCTAAACTAGTGTTGGATCAGACTCAACTTGCACAGCTCGATACCGATATGGTCGCAACGATGAGAGTATATGTATCCTCTGCTGCTAAGCGTGCTGTGGTTGTCAAAGAAGATGATCTACTAACCAAAGCCGACATAGCAGCACATCCAAAGGAGGTTAGTGAAGCCTTATATACTGAGCTCAAAATCTGGATTGATAATCGATGCTTTGAGATGTACGATTTATCCAAAGCTTCCAACATCATGACATCCAGATATGTATACAAGTGGAAGTTCGTAAAGATGGGTACCGAGAACGTTAAAACCATTCGTCTCAGACTGGTCCTTCGTGGATTTATGGATACTGAGGCTTTTGATGTGGAAACATTCTCGGGAACCGCCCGAAGGCAGTCCCAACGACTCCTGGCAAGTGAAGCGGCATGCCATCCAGAGTGGATCTTAGCATCCATGGATATCGATAAGGCGTTCCTCAAGGGTTTGACCTATGAGGAACTTGCCCATGCCACCGGCGAGGAAACTCGCATGGTTTGCTTTACTCTTCCACCAGGAAGCGCTCAGGTACTTCGTACATTACCCGGCTTCTCATCCTACGACGAAAGTCGACACTGTCTTAGATGCCTCAAACCAGGAACGGGTACTAAGGACGCTCCAAGAGCGTTCTCTCTCAAACTTCGTACGACCACACGAGCTATAGGACTTACACCGACCAGCTACGATCCTGAATTTGAATTCAGCCAAGACCTTCTGACGGCAAAACATGTCGATGATATTAATATGACAGGTCTAGAGAAAAATATAGACGACTATGTACAACGCGTCGAAAAGGTGTTTGGCAAATGCAAGCTCAACAAGCACACATATACGAACTGCGCCGTTCGCTACACTAAGAATGATCAGGGAGATGTGATCATGGACCAGGACGAGCACATTAAACAACTACGTCCTATCACACACCCAGAAGTTACAGGAGCGGCGGCCGACGCCAAAGCCACGAAACTCATTGCCGACATGTTCGTCAGCCTGCGAGGAGCCCTCGCCCATGCCCTTCTTACCCAAATCTGGCTCATGGTATATGTGGTCTCCCTTCAGAAAATTCAAGAGCCCACCAATTTGCAAGTCAGACGTTTGAATGCTGTGACGCGAAAGCTGATCAGCAGCCCGAAACGTATCACCTTCCCTCGGATGAAGCCGACGAATGAAGTTGACATCCATAGCGATTCGGGGTATCGGAAGCTTACCGGGGAGGAGGATGACGAGACCAAGGGCTACGGCATACGCGGGGCCAACGTACTACGGCGAGGAAACTCGCCTCAAGGCAAGTCCGTCGTTCACCTCTGTGACGGACTATGCAAATCACACCGATTACAGGTGAGGTCCAGTTATGCTGCGGAGGCACTTGCAGCCGCACATAACCTTGATGAGTGTTACCCTACGCTCATTACTCTCCACGAGCTTAAAGCAGGGGCTTTGACTCCACGACAACTACGAGACATGCGTGAAGTTGGAGGCCTTGCTATCAAAGTCTCTCTTACCATAGACGCTGAGTCCGTCTGCAAATCTTTATCAAGCAGGGATCTCAAAATACCTACAGAACGGACTCTGCTTGGACATAGCAGCTGGATACGTGAGATCATGGATATAGGTATAGTACATAATGTGCAATGGTGTGATACTAGGGATATGACCGCAGATGGGCATACAAAGGGAAGCATCGATCGGGAGCTGCTTCTGGAAGTGATGTCAGGCACTCAGTCATTTAAGTATGACGTGAAGCAATTTGTTCCCTTTCGGGGTCCCGAGGACAGAGACAAACCTAAGTCTAATCAATTTTAGTCTGTCCTTGTTGCCCTCGCGGTCCAGTTTGCCAGCACGGGCGCCTACTATAAAGGCGCCCCTTTAGTTGCTCGGAAACGAGCCTTATATTTCACGCCTGGCAACGAGCCGGCTTCGTACAACTCAGGCTCTTTGCCTTAATACACATTTGCTTGGTGAGGTATGGCCTAATTTTGGCTTACCTCTAACTGAGCCGATAGCTCTTCATTGTTTGAAGGGGCTGTCCTGTATTTGCGTGAAATATTTTGCGAGGAAACTCGCCTTACAGTCTGGTGTTTGACCAGACTGTACGCACTGTTTTCTTTTCTTTGCAAACAGTCGTGCGCACGATCTTTGCGTGCGACTATGCTCTCCGTCTCCTCCCCTCCCGACTTTAAGGGTAGCTCTTTGGGAGATGTTACAGTATCGGGAGCATAGCTCGCGCGCCGCTGCCTTGGGCTCAAGGCACGCGCGCCCTATTTGCCCGGACACCGCGAGCGTTCGCTATGTGCTGGAAAGATCATTACATCGATCTTATCCTATCTTACCCATCCACCCCTCATACTGTACCTTCACAGCAGAGCGATGGATGCAATTTGCCAGGCTATATGCCCCATTTGAGTTACCAGGCTCACTTTCGACTCACGCCTCCTGAAGCGCTCTTTATCCCAGAGGGCTGTTCATTAGGCGCTCGAGATCCGACGTCCTATGCGGGCGTCTTGTTTTCAAGCGCGTTGCTTCGCTGCTCCAAGCGCTAAGCGCCTCTCTTGGGTGCTCGTTCTGTTGGTCCTAGCGGCATTGTTGTCATGCTCTGTTTGTTGCGCTTCGTTTGGTCTGGTGCTCCCCTCTACCGCAGGCGCCTGGAGGGCGAACACCATCGACGGGCCTGGCGTCTACACCGGGTGCGACGGCCGCACATACCGGGGCACGTGGCGGGACTCCGTGATCCACGGCCGCGGCACCTACGCCTGGCCGAACGGCAGCGAGCTCAGTCACGAGCGGCGAAAATCCCCGTGTCCGCGCCATCGTGGTCTGCATCGCGGGGTGCGATCTCGCGGATATGCGGTCGCACGGATACGCTCCGCGGCTGTCAGAAACGCCCCGCATCCGCCGGGGTTCGCGGCCCTGGTGCCCAGCACGCGAAGGCCTTGGACGCGGATTGGCTTATTTTCGGCCACGGCTTAGGGGATTTTGGCAATGGCAGGGCAGTTGTTGTTTATTTCAGTTTTCGTTTCGCTGTGTGCAGCTTCCGGCGCCGTCTTGTTGACTTGTAGGGCGTTGCTGTTGTACCGTTGTCGTTTTCTTCTGTGGGGGCCTGGCCCATATTATTTTCTGGCAATCAAGTCTGAACTGTTTTCGGATTGCTTCCGAGCGTGCCTCGGATCACATACTGCCCAGGCCGCTTCGGTGAGTGTTTTTGTTGCTACCGTTTCGGTGAACTATGTTTGCCGTTTCCAGTGTCAAGAAACATATGTTTGAAGACAGTAACATGAAGGACCTGCCGTTTCCAGGGCCCACTAAGGCCGCGAGTATTCCGGGGAGTACCAGTTCGACCAGAAGGATCTCAGAAGAAGAAGAAGAAGACAACACGAAAAGAAACCCAGACATCCAACGTATCAAAAATATCACGATAGAGTTTTTTGCAAGTTTCTGCCTCCCCCCAGGACCGCCAACAAACCGCTCGGGACGAAAAACTACTCCTCTGGAGTAGGTCGCGATTCCCGGGGACCCTGCATTGAAACAAATAACACATCGGATGTCAGGGATTGTATGAACACGCATAATTTTGCCTCGAGCGATCTTCACCCGAGAAGCGAGGCGGGATCCCAAGGGAGCACGGGGACCCCTTGAGGCCTGGCAGCCGCGGCACGCAGTCGTCGTTGGTCGAAGGCGCGAGGCGGGATCCTCGAGGACCAACGGGTCCATGGAGGCCTGGCGGCCGCGGTGTGCAGGCTGTGCGAGACGGGTCTGGAGTTTGTTCTCTTGCGGTGTAGCAGCCCCAGCCTGTCGAGGGGGCGAAGTTTCAGAGTTGGGGCAGGTTTCTTGGATCGGCACTGCAACCCCCTTCTTGGTGCGCGGAGCGCGCCAGGGGCGGCGCCAGGGGCGGCGCAGGAGGCGCCGCCAGGGAGATCCTGCACCGGTCTGAAAAACCGCACGGACCTCGATCCAGATGTCTCTGCTTCTGCAGTGCTGGTTGACCTTCTTCCGAGGAAGGCTTCGGGGTGTTCAGGTGGCCAGACGGCAAGAGGTTCGAAGGCTTCTGGTCGAACGGGCAGCAGCACGGGCACGGCCGCTCGGTGCTGAAGGACGGCACCGTGAGGGCGGCCGTGTGGCGCGACGGGAGGCACGTCGGCCTGCTCCAGCAGAGCATAACCGAGGACAGCCTATCCTGAGCGGCCGACTCCAGTGATTGGGATGAGGAGGGGGATTATGATGATGCTGATGCTGATGCTGATGCTGATGCTGATGATGATGATGATGATGATGATGATGATGATGGTGCTGATGATGATGATGTTGATGATGATGATGATGATGATGATGATGATGATGATGATGATGATGATGATGACGATGATGATGATGATGATGACGATGATGTGATGATGGTGCTGCTGATGATGATGATGATGATGATGATGATGATGATGAGGAGGAGGAGGAGGAGAGGAGGAGGAGGAGGAGGAGGAGGAGGAGGAGGAGGAGGAGGTGAGGAAGACGGAGGAGGGCAATGTACGAGGAATCGGGGATGACACCGCAGGAGAAGCGATCGGGGAGGAGAGAGGAGGGAGGGTGGGCCAGGGAGGATGTATGAATAGACCACGGCCGTGGACGTTGCGCGGCCCTGCGGCAGCGCCCTTTGATCCGCACGCTCTTGCCTGGCGCGCCCGTGGATCCCTATTTTGTTTTTGTTTGCGCAGCCGCAGCCCTGCGGCAGCGCCCAGCGGGTCCGGTGGAACCGCACGTTTCGTGAAGCCCGCAGGCCCGCAGCGTAGGGTCTCGCCGCTCTCCTCCCTGAGACCTCGACCGCGCGGGCCGGGCTGGCAAAAGGACCTCCCTCCCCCTCTGCCCCCGCACACCTCCTCCCCTGCCGTCTCTTCTCCCCGCCGTCTTCCGACTTCTGCCCCCCCTGTCATCATCATCATCATCATCATCATCATCATCATCATCATCATCATCATCATCATCATCATCATCATCATCATCATCATCATCATCATCATCTTCATCTTCATCTTCATCTTCATCTTCATCTTCATCTTCATCTTCATCATCATCATCATCATCGTCATCATCATCATCACCTCCTCCCCCTTCTCCTCCTTTTTTCGTTGACCAAACCTGAATCCTACGACTGTGGCATTCGTCCTTCCCCTCCTCCTCCCCCTCCTCCTCCTCCTCCTCCTTTTCTTCCTCCCTCTTCCCGCCTAGTCCTCCCTATTCCTCCCTCCTTCCGCCAGTTACTTCCCTCCTTACATGCCCTTCGCTCCCTCCCTTCATCCCCCCGCCTCCTCCTCCTCATCATTCCTCCTCCTCATCTTTTTTCCTGTTCTTTTTCTTGTTCCTCCTTCTCCTCCGCATCCCCGCTAGAAGGTCAGGCAGTGTCCCGATCGCACCGCCAGTCTCCGAGCTGCTCGGGGTCCCTGCGCATCTCCGCCGCCGCCTCCTCCCGCTCTTTAGCCGTTTGAGCGTGTGCTGTCTCTTTGGGCGAGGGGGCGGAAGGCGGGCCGTGGAGAGCCCCTGAGACGTGGAGATACTCAAGTCTTGGGCGCGAATTGCCCGGGGAGGCGATACATGGGGGAGCAGTGAGGGCGGGGCCCTTTGAGTCCCGAAAGGGGCCCTTTCGGACCCAGAACGGGGCCTTTAGGGCCCGAGACGCGTCCCTGTCTTCCCCCCAAGCATGTATAGCCCCCCTTTGAGCCGCGCCCAGAAGTCCAGCCTCCACCCCCAGCCTCCACACGTTTGTTGCGCTTCTGTGTTCAATCGGCGTTCTGGGCGAAGGACGTGCAGATCTGGCGGCCAGTCTCCGGGGAACCCGAGAGGGTTTCACATGCCGCATGTAAAACCCTCTCGGGTTCCCCGCTTTTGCCCCTGCCAGCGCGACCAGCATCGACGATCCAATTGCCCATGCTCGCGTGTGTGTGTGTGCGTTTGTTCTTCGCACCGTGAGTCTCCTCCTCTCCTCCCCGCCCTCCGCGGCCGCCCTCCTTCCCCCCATCCACCCTCTTGCAGCCAGTGTGTGTGTTGTGTCGTTGTTTGTGTGCGTGTTTGTGTGCGTTTGTTTGTGTGTGTGTTTGTCTGTGTGTGTGCGTCTGTGTGTGTGTGTGTGTGTGTCTGTGTGTGTGGTTGTGTGTGTGCGTGCGTGTATGTGTGTGTGTGTGTGCGTGTTTGTGTGTGTGTGTGCGTGTGTTTGTGTGTGAGTGTCTTCGTGTGAATGCGTTGGTGCGGTGTTCCAAGTTCTGCTTTGATTGCTGGGTCTGCGGCAAGGCAGCCCCGACGTCGAGTGGCGCGGCTGCATGCCCCCCATCCTCTTCCCGCCCCGCTCCTACGCACGCGTATATCATGCCTCCCCCCCGCCTCCTCGCCCCCTCCCCCCACACACCTTATTGGGAAGGCGAGCGAGTAGGAGGCGGAGGGGAAGGACAGGACGGGAAAGGGAGATTGGCAGGGTGAGGATTCCTCGTTCTCCTCCGCCTTCTCCTCCGCAGCCTCCTCCCGGCAACGAGGGGGAGTTCCCTTGAGGCCTCCAGAGGTCTCCATCAAGGTCGCTAATGTGGAGCGAGGCATCCTGGATGCCTAGGGATGGCAAGCCACAGCGCACAGCAACCTCGAACCTCCTCCTCCTCCTCCTCCCGCTTCTCTCCTCTCCTCATCCCGCTTAACCTCTTTCTGGTTAACTATACTCCAACCTGTCCTCCATCACCACCTCGATCCACCTCCTCCCGCTAATTTCCATGATCCCCATCCCGCTGATCCTCTTCTTTTTTTCTCATGTTATCAAAAATGTGTCCTCCACCACCTCCTCCTTCTCCCCTTGATGACCCTCCAGGGCGCTGCAGCAATAGCCCCCCAGACGTGTAGACGCACCGGGACCGCTAACTAACATCATCCACCATGGTTCAGATCCAAAAGGCACCAGTGCTGCTCCGACCCTCCTGCAGTGTAAGGCCGCTCCTGGAAGGTCAGCCCCCCCCCCCTCCACAGGCCTCCGACGTCCTGTTGCTCACGACGTGCTCCCCCCTCACCCCCTCCCGGAGGTCTGGGCCTCCTCCCCCGGGCCGGCTTTGCACCCAGAGTCGTCGGTGGACAGGCGGGGGCCCAGAGTTCTTCGCCTGGTCCGTGTCACCCGTGTCGTGGCGTCTGGGGCCGAGCCTGGTCGTGGTGGCGTCTGGGGCCGAGCCTGGTCGTGGGTTTTTGTAATTTTTTGATTTTTCCCACAGCGAGAGGCCTGCAGGTCCTCCCCCCACCTCGCGGAGGGAGAGAGGCCCGGGAGCGCCCGCCCGCGAGGCCGCCGCGCGGAAGCCCCCGGGGGCCCCTCGTGGGCCTCCGGGGGCGCTTCTTCGGGCCTCTTGGGAGCTTACTGGGCGCCTGCTGGCGGTCTCGGGGGTCCTCTTGGGGCGGAGGGCTTGGAATGTCGGTTCGAGTTGCCTCTCTTGGGCCCCTCTTGGGGCCCTGTTGGGGCTCTCTTGGGCCATCTTGGGGGCCTCTTGGGTCGTCTTGGGGCCCTCTTCGGCCGTCTTGTGGCACTCCTGGGTGCTTCTTGGGCGCGGTTGAGACCAAGAAGTCGAATTTATTCAAAATACATGTTTTCCCCCAGGAGTTTGACGATTATTGCTTCTTGGGGCCCCCTCGGGGGTCGTCTTGGGGCCCTCTCGGGGTTCGTCTTGGAGCCCTCTTGGGGCGTCTTTGAGGCCTCTTGGGCAGTCTTGAGGCGACCTTGGTCGTCTTCGGTGACTCCTGTGCGTGTTGTTGGAGACCTGGTTGAGCAGGCGTAGCTCGATTCTTAGGCATCCTGGAGGCCACGGAGTGTAGAAATGGAGGCCCCGGGGTCCCCCGTGGAAGCGTTGATGAGCTCGGAGAACTGTCTCCCCCCAGGGCCTCCCCCAGGCCCCCCCGGTCCCCCCGGCCCTCCCCCAGGCCCCCCCCTCTCTAGTCTTGAGTCGGGCGTGTCCCTATACAGGGGGAAAATTCAAAAATAGTCAAAAAATAGTCTGGGGACTATTTTTTTGTATTTTTGACCGTTTTGGAGTATCTTTTGAATAATTGTTATGTTTTCGTCGACAATCCCCCTTTAGGGAGACACGCCCGACTGAACTCTAATCGGATGTCAGGTCCCACGGGAGGGAAGGGGAGAGGGGCATAGTCCATCATCTCGCACGCCTTTGCACCCACGGCAAGGTGCAATGGCTAAGTGTGAAATTTGAGCCCTCAGGGGCCAGTTTGTGTACATATCCACTGCGCCTCTGGTCTCTTGGGAGGGGAACCCGAAACTCCAAGACGCAGTGGATATGGATACAAATCTTGCCCGCACATGTTAGTTCTGCTGCAATGCGCGGCCCCAGAGGTCCCCGACCCTCGTCCAGGGGGTCGTTTTCCGTGCCCGAGATCACTGTCTGATGGTCCCGAGGCCCGATGACGGACCCCATGGGGCCGAAATCGAGGAAAGGCACCCGGACTGAAGAGACACATCGTCGGAGGTCCGGCGATGGCTCCAGGGAGGTCCCGAGCAGGAGCATCCGACTGGAGCATCCCTCGCCCGGAGGAGCCCGCATGCCCTGGGCGCCCCGGCCGGGGCCGGCGAGCCCCGCAGGTCTCCGCGAAGAAGAGGAAGGACTTCGCGAAGGAGCCCGCGCTGCGGCCGCCGCCACGGGCGCCGCGCGTCCGAGAAGGGGGCCACGTGCGAACGCTAACCCCTACCCCCCACGAGTTCTGAGGGGGAGGGTGGGGTTCACTTCGCTCGGGGAGCTCCCGAGCGAAGTGAACCCCGCCCTCCTCCTCAGAAATCGTGGGGGGTAGGGGTAGCGTTCGCGTGTTTCCCCCCAGCTGCGGCCGCCGCCACGGGCACCGCGCGTCCGAGAAGGGGGGGGGGAGAGTCCAGAGTCCATCACTGGACAGCCCTTGGCAGCCTACCTCGCCTCACAGTGCCATGGGCGCAGGCTGGCGGACTTAGGAGTTGCCTCGCCGCTCTACCATGCGTGTTTCCAGGTCCTCCCTCTAGTTATTCAATCGCTTCGCTCGTTCCGCCGGCCCTGGAGCGCTATTTGGGGCCTCTTGGGGCCGTCTTGGGGGCTTCTTGGGAGCGTCTTGGGGCTCCTTGGCGGCGTATTGGGCTCCCCTGGGGCCTCTTGGGGGGCTCTTGGGGGGCTCTTGGGGGCCCCTTGGAGCGGGAGGGGGGGTAGTCGATTGCAGCCCCCCCCCTCGGAGGCCACGATCCTCGTGAGGGGTGGCGAAAAATAGCCTCCCCCCTGGGGATCGCCCGGGACCCGGCCCGGGGTCAGCTGGGGTACTGTTCGTCCGGGGCCCCCCAGGGGCCGCCCCGCGCGCGCGAACTAGAAATATTGGTAAGTAGTTACCAGAGATCTTAGCACGCCTCTGGCCCGTTGGGCTGGCGAATTCAACGATCCGCACTCTCCCTCTGCTCTCTCTCCCTCTCTCTCTACCTCTCCCTCTCTTTTACTCTTAACTCTGGGAGGGAAGCCAGGAGCCTAGTGGCCCTCTGGAAAAGGCGGGAAACATTCACCGAGACCACCCAGGAACCTAGTCATTTGGAAAAGCGGGAACTGACCGACCTCTGCCAGTCCTTGTTCGCCAGATTCTCGCGATTTCTGCGGGGACCCCCTTGGAGCAAGCGCTGACTGGGGAATGGTACGAGAAAAAAATTAAGAGAAGGAGGGCGAATGATAAAGTCGAGGATAACGAGAAGCATCCATGCGAAATGGGAGTTGGAGGGGAAGGCGGATGAGGAGAAGGAGGACTGCCAAGTTGGGTTGGAGACTGAATTCAGCCGACGGGCGGCCACCTCAGCTCCCCGGTTGGATGTCACACTGGATTCAGAGCATGATGTCTCCGCCGCCATGCTGGAGTTGGAACGCCTGCCATCCGTCCAACACTGCGACCCCGCCCGGATCTCCGTGGGAGATCACGCGTGCACTTTGTGACCAGCGAGTCCAGCAAGTCCAGTTGAGCGTGTTTGGGTCCGCACGGCGGTTGAGGACAGGGAGGCCGTCGCGATCAAGAGGCGTACCGGCGCTTTGAGGAGGGCTACGGGGGGGCTCCCCGCGCTTTTCATGCTGCCCCCCTCGCGTGATATGTGAGGCGCTGTTCGAAGCACAGGCACTGATCCAAGCGCCGGGTGTCAACCTCGCCCGAGGCGTCGGAATAGCAGCCGCCCAAGACGGCTTCAGGACGGCGCCTCTGGGGAGAGATCATGAACAGGCCGATTCTGCACCTTCCGCCTTGGCAGTCTGGTTCGCGTGTGAAGTCAAGGATCTGGGTCTGCTCCCCCCCCGCCAGGATGCAACCCCAGGGAGATTTGATTTCGAAGCGTCGCTGGCATCGAAGACACCAACGGCGAATCACCGCTGCCCCCTGCCTTTTGGAATCGCCCACGTGGCCGAACGTTGTTGCCAGAGCTCTGCCAAGCTACCGGACCATGTGCTCCCCCAGCCATTGTGGAAAGCCTTCGGGGAACAGGAGGGGGAAGGAAGACGAAGCGGATGAGAGGGAGGAATAATTGAGGAGGAGGAGGAGGAGCAGGAGGAGGAGGAGGAGGAGACGGAGGATGAGGAGGTGGAGACGGAGGATGAGGAGGTGGAGGAGGAGACGGAGGAGGAGGCCGAGGAGGAGGAGGAGGAGGAGGAGGAGGCGGATGAGGAGAGGAGGAGGAATAGGAGAAGGAAAGGGAATAGGAAAAGGAAACGGAAGAGGGGCAGGGAAAGGAACGGGAAAAGGAGGAGGAGGTCGAGGAGGAGGAGGAGGAGGAGGAGGACACGTGGGGCCTCCTGGGAGCTTCCTGCGGGCCTCTTGCAAGCCTCGTTCCGCCTCCAGCATGCGAACCCTACCCCTACCCCCACGATTTCTGAGGGGGAGGGTGGGGTTCACTTCGTGCGGGAGCTCCCGAGCAAAGTGAACCCCACCCTTCCCCTCAGAAATCGTGGGGGGTAGGGGTAGGGTTCGCATGTGGCCCCCTATCGTTAAAGCCTCCTTGGGCCTCTTGGGGGCGTTGTTGGTTTTCTTGGGGGCTTCTTGGGCCGTCTCCGGGCGCTCGTGGCCCGTCTGACGCTGTCTTGGAGGCCTCTTGGGGCGTCACGGGGTCATCTTGGAGGCCTTTGGGGTCATCTTGGGGCGATATTGGGGGGCTCTTGGGCCGTGTTGGGCCGTCGGAAGCCCGACACGAAGCGAAGAGCGTCTAGGAAACCATGTGGGACCATTTCGGGTCGTCTTGGAGGCCATCTTAGGGGTCTTGGAGGCTTCGTTGGCCGTCTTGAGGGCCTCTTGGTGCCGTCTTGGAGGCCTCTCTGGCGTCACGGGCTCAGTTTGGAGGCCTTTAGGGTCATCTTGGGGCGATCTTGGGGGGCTCTTAAGTCGTCTTGGGCCATCGGAAGCCCGACGAGAAGCGAAGGGCAAGCTCCTCCCAGATCCAAAAACCTAAGGAAACTCAATGAGTTTGGCCTCTTCTAGTCCTCCTGGAGGACATCTTGGAGGCCTCTCCAGTCGCCTTGAAGGCTCTTCGGGGCCGTCTTGGGCCGTCTAGGGCAGTCTCGGAGGCGTCTTGGGCGGAGTTGGACGCATCTTGGACCTTCTCGGTCCGTCTAGGAAGCCATTTGGAACCAGTTTGGGCCTCTTGGAGGCCATCTTAGGCGTCTTGGAGGCCGATTTGGCCGTCTTGAGGCCTTCTTGGTGCCGTCTTGGAGACCTCTTTGGGCGTCACGGGGTCAGTTTGGAGGCTTTGGGGGTCATCTTGGGGCGATCTTGGGGGCCCCTGGGGCCGTCGGAAGGCTGAAACATGGCAAACACCAAAATCAATCAATGGTTTCGTTTCGGGCGTTTCGTTCTGGCGTTTGTATCCCGATAGTGCTCGCGCCCATTAGAACGATGTGCGCGTGGTCCTGTGGTGTCGGCCAGTGCGGCGGCCTAACCAGGTCACAAGTTGCCGTTCTCCTGATACCTAACGGTCCCAAAGCCCCTGACGAAAGAAACCGAAACAAGCCCTGGGGCGAAAAACTGACCTCCAAAACGCGTGGAGAGAGACTCCAAAACGTGTCCTGAAATAGCCAGAAAGAGGAAGAGGAGCAGTTGCAGTATCATCATCATCATCATCATCATCATCATCATCATCATCAGCAGCAGCAGCAGTAGTAGTAGTAGTAGTAGTAGTAGTAGTAGTAGTAGTAGTAGTAGTAGTAGTAGTAGTAGTAGAAGGAGTACTGTAGTGAAAGTAGTAGTAGCATGAGCAGTAGCAGGAGTAGTCGTAGACATCGTAATAATGGTAGTAGTAGTAGTAGTAGTAGTAGTAGTAGTAGTAGTAGTAGTAGTAGAAGTAGAAGTAGAAGTAGAAGTAGAAGTAGAAGTAGAAGTAGTAGTAGTAGTAGTCGTAGTCGTAGTAGTAGTAGTCGTAGTAGTCGTAGTAGTAGTAGTAGTAGTAGTAGCAGCAGTAGCAGTAGTAGTAGTGGTAGTAGTAGTAATAGTAGTAGTAGCAGTAGTAGTAGTAGTAGTAGTAGTCGTAGTAGTAGTAGTAGTAGTAGTAGTAGTAGTACTAGTTGCAGTAGTAGTAGTAGTAGTAGTAGTAGTAGTAGTAGTAGTAGTTGCCGCCTTCGTAATAGTAGTAGTAGCCATAGTATTCGTAGTAGCAGCACCAATATTAGTAGAAGCAGTAGTAGCAGTAGTAGTAGTAGTAGTAGTAGTAGTAGTAGTGTAGTAGTAGTAGTAGGAGTGTAGTAGTAGTAGTAGTAGTAGTAGTAGCAGTAGCAGTAGTAGTAGTAGTAGTAGTTGTTGTTGTAGTCGTACTCATGCCAGTAGCAGCAGTAGTATTAGCAGAAGTAGAAGTAGTCGTAGTAGCCGTAGTAGTAGCAGCATTTGCAGTAGCAGTAGTAGTAGTCGTAGTAGTAGTAGTAGTAGTAGTAGTAGTAGCAGTAGTAGTACTACTACTACTAATAGTAGTAGTCGTAGTAGTAGTAGTCGTAGACGTAGGCGTAGCCGTAGTCGTAGTAGGAGTAGTATTTGTAGTAGTAGTACTACTACTACTAGTAGTAGTCGTAGTAGTAGTAGTAGTAGTAGCAGCAGCAGCAGTAGCAGTAGTAGTAGTAGTAGTAGTAGTAGTTGTAGTTGTAGCCGCAGTAGTAGTAGTAGTAGTAGTAGCAGTAGTGGTCGTAGTAGTTGTAGTAGTAGTAGTAGTAGTAGTAGTAGTTGTTGTTGTTGATGTTATGGTTGTGTACTCGTGGAGGTAGGGGCAGTGTGACTTGACGTCGTGTCGCCTGTCATGTGTGATACGTTGTCAAATCGGTCGTTGCTCTGCCTGTTTGGTCCAGTGGCTAGCCTGACCTCGGCGCGCACGCCGCGTTTGATAATATTTCGGTACGGTGTATTATGTCATGACGTTCCCCTTGAATTCTGGGACCCGTTGTTCTGAAGCCTGCTCCTCTGCTCTGTGGCACTGTGCTGAAGCATGTTACCCCCTGTCAGTTTCTGTTTTGTAATGCGTTGTTTCGTGATGCTGGTTACGCTGTGCTGTTTCCACCGCAGGGTATCATGGTCTGCTTTGTTATGACATACCTTTTCAATGAAGGTCTAGTATTGCGTGGTGTGTCAAGCTCTTTGCCGTAGGGGTACCCCTAGTGAACGAGTTCTGGCATGGTGGCATGGTGTGTTAGTTACGGTGTGTTCTGTTCTCTGTTCATCACATTGTGCTATGGTGTGGGGTGCTTTGCACGATGGTAGAAATCCACGGTGTTTGGGTACAGTCGTTGTTGTCGTTGTACCCATAGTACATTTTTTTCGGTGCGCTCTGTTGTGATCTGTGATGGTATGCCCCCGCCATTTCATGGTATGTGTTGTTATGGTATGTTGTGCTCGATGCTGCGTTCTGTTACGCTCTACTATCACAGGACACGGTTGTTGATTAGGACCCACGTCCTGGCATGTAATAATACGTGATATCGAGATCCATCATGCTATGAATTGACATGTTATGGGATGCTGCGGTTCCGTGTTGTGGTATGATGTGTTAGGCCAGTGTGTGACATGCTATGCTGTGTCGAGTTACGGTCTGTTCAGGTGGGGTCAGCCGCTTGTGGTTATGGTGTGTGGTGTTCTGTTATGTGATGTATGAACCATGGTGGCATTGCATACCTTTTCGTGATGTGTCACGTTATATCCTTTGCCTGAAGGGCTGTGACATGCTATACGTCGTTGTGGTACGGCGCTGTGGTTTATTTTGGTGTGCCATGCTGTAATATGGTGTGCCGCGCTCTGTCATGTTATGATATACAGTTTTATGTGATGTTATGTGATTTGATGCTGTGCTGCGGTGTGATCTGTTCTGCCATTGTATTATTTGATGTGGGACGCTTCTGTCATGTCGTGATACGGTATACCCTTATGAGTTTATGATATAAGGTGGAATGCTATGCTCTGTTCTGTGTGATCCAGTATTTCCTAAGGTATGGTGTTACGCTCAGCTATCTTATGCTACGCTGCAACATATAATGTCGCGCTCTGTCATGTCATGACGTGTTATCTGCGCTGCGGTGTTATAGGTATGTTATATGTGTTGCGATGTTGTGTTATGTTGTGGTGCGTTATGGCATGGTATGGTATGCTATGCACTGTTATGCCATGCTATGCTATGGTATGCTACGTATGATCTGGTCTGTCATGACGGGTGAAGTTATGTTCTGTTGTGGCATGACATGGTCTGTCATGTTGTATGAGGTGGTGACATGTTCAGTGTTGGTATGCTCAGTTATGCGATGCGTTATGGTGTTATGCTTGCTTTGTCGTGTTGTGCAATGCTCCGTGTTGTGTTGTTGTGCGATGGTATGCACTGCTCTGCCATGTTGCATTATGTTTCGATGTGTTCTGTCATGCTACGGTATGCTATGCTCGAAAATGCAATGTTAGGTGTTGTGATGTTACGTTTCCTTCCGTCATAACATGTTCCCTTGATTTTTGTCTTGTATTATGTTATGCTATTCATATTGCCGCTCTGTCATGTTATGACTTTTCGGCGCGAGGCGGGAGACTCGTGGGTTTTCGGGGGACCAGGGATCTGGCAGCCGCGGGTCGCAGAGTGGCGCGAGGCGGAACTCTTGGGGACAGTCAGGAGTTCTGGGGATCTGGCAGCCGCGGGTCAGAGTGGCGCGAGGCGGGACTCTCGGGGACACTCGGGGGGGCCAGGGATCTGGCGGCCGCGGTATACAAAGTGGCGCGAGGCGGGACTCGGGGACACTCGGGGACCTAGAGATTTGGCGGCCGCGGTCGGCAGAGTGGCGCGAGGCAGGACTCTCGGAGACACTCGGGGACCTAGAGATTTGGCGGCCGCGGTCTGCAGAGTGGCGCGAGGCAGGACTCTCGGGGACACTGGGGCGCCTGGGGATCTGGCGGCCGCGGTATGCAGGGTGGACGGGTCGGAAGGTCTTTTCTTGGAATGTGGCAACCCCAACCTATCGGGTTGGGAAACACCTCAGGACAATCAATGATCTTTGCTTCTTCGAGCCCTCCTTGAGCACCTTTTGGAGGCCTCTGGAGCCGTCTTGGAGGCCTCTTGGGGGCCTCCGGGGCCATCTTGAGCCGTCTTGCGCCCTGGGCGATATTGGAGACATCTTGGACTCTCTTCGGCCGTCTTGGAGGCCGTCTTGGACCATCTTTGGCGAACTCGAGAGCCATACTGGCCGTCTTGGTGGCAAATTTGGGCCATCTTAGAGCCATCTAGACTAGGACAAACCTTTGCAGCCACCACGAATGCAACCGTCTGGGTGGCCGGCGGCATCGGCGAAAAACCTCCAAACCTCCAGCAGGCCAGGCACCCCTGATAATAAACAGGGGGCTGCGGACCGAATAGCCTTCGGCCCATCCTGCCACCGTGCCTGGGTTGTGGGTCAGAGTCCTCAAGGATGCTTCGAGGCTTCTTGAGTTGTCTGGAGGCCCGCGTGGGCGTCTTGGAGCGATCTTTCGGGGATTCTGGCCCCTCCTGGGCCTTCCGGGCGGCCTCCAGGGGCTTCTTTGGTCCGTTTGGGGGCCCTCCTGAGCGAGGGGACCGTCCTGAAGGCCCACGCGAGAAACCACGGCAGCACCTGGTCCCGCGTACGCGGAAAACCCCGCGCCGGGGCCCTCAGAAATTCTTTACGCTTCGCGTATCCCCACCAGCCCATCTCACAACAGCAACTCTTGCGAAGCATGCCGACAGTCGTGTTTTTCAGGCGTGTGTCCGCTTGCCCCCGCATATCTCCCCTGTTCCTCCTTCCTCCCGCCTCCTTGTACATCCTCCTTGTGGGGGAGCGGGAGAAGGACGAGGCGGAGGAGGAGGGAGAGAAAGCGCTCCTCGTGGTTTGAGTCGTTTGGGGTTTCTCGTCCTGGTGTGAGTCGTTCGGGCCCTTCTTCCTGGTGTGAGTCGTTCGGGCTCTTCGTGGTGTGAGTCGTTCGGGCTCTTCGTCCTGGTGTGAGTCGTTCGGGCTTCTCGTGGTGTGAGTTGTTCGGGCCCCTCGTCCTGGTGTGAGTCGTTCGGGCCCCTCCTCCTGGTGTGACTCGTTCGGGCTCCTCGTGGTGTGAGTCGTTCGGGGCCCTCGTCGTGGTGTGAGTCGTTCGGGCTCCTCGTGGTGTGAGTCGTTCGGGCGCCTCGTCCTGGTGTGAGTCGTTCGGGCCCCTCCTTCTGGTGTGAGTCGTTCGGGCTCTTCGTGGTGTGAGTCGTTCGGGCCCCTCGTCCTGGTGTGAGTCGTTCGGGCTCCTCGTGGCGTGAGGCGTTCGGGCACCTCGTCCCCTTTTGGGGCGTCTTGGGGGCCTCTTGGCGGCCCCAGGGGCTTCTAGGAGCGTCTTGGGTGCCTTGGGGGAGCCTCTTCGGGCCTCTTGGGAGCCTCTTGGAGGCCGTTTGGGGCGTCTTGGGGGCCTCTTGGCGGCCCCAGGGGCTTCCAGGAGCGTCTTGGGTGCCTCGGGGGAGCCTCTTGGGGCCTCTTGGGGGCCTCTTGGGGGCATCTTGGGGGCCTCTTGGAGGCCTCTTGGGGGCCTCCTGGGGGCCTCTTGGGGCCATCTTGGGGCCTCAGTGTGCCTCCTGGGCGCTTCTTGGGGCCATCTTGGAGGAAGTGGATGAATGAAGAGGGGAGCTTTAATCGCTGCCCCCTCAGAAGGGCAAAATGAGGCCAAAACCTTCGTAAAATCAATGATTCTGCCTTGAAGGAAGAGGGGAACTTTAATGAGCGCTGCCCCCTCAGAAGGCCAAAATGGGGCCAAAACCGTAGTAAAATCAATGATTTTGGCTTCAAAGAGAGGGTTTTTTCTTCCTCCCCCCGTCGGGGCCAGAATCCTCGTGAGGGGTGTCGTTTTTTAGCCCTCCCAGGAGTCGAAAAGGACCCCTCCAACGACCCGCGAGGCGCCCTCTCCAGGCCCAGGGGGAGGGGGTAGGGGGAGGGGTAATCCGCTCCCCGAGGGGGAAGAAGGGGGGTTGAGAACAGAGAGGACTCGCTAAACCACTCACGCCCAAAGGGCTGGTGGGATTCACAAACCCTTTATCTTCCAGGGCTGCACGAGCCGTGGGGCACTCCACTTCGTGGCAGGGGCGCGTTGGCGGATGTCAGTAGATCCCTGGTCGAAAACTGGCCTCATCCGGATTGATCCCACATGATCCGGCTGAATCCTGCTGAATCCTGTTTTTCACCCAGCCTCATCTGGCTCAGTGCCCCTCCGATCGGGCTTCATGGCTGTTCACTGTGCCGACGTAGACCTCCCAGGTTTTGCCCCCTACCCCCAGGAGATCGAGAAGCAGAAGAAGGAGTTCGAGAAGCTTTCCAAGACGTCGGCGGCCGCCGGCGGCGTGGAGGCTTTCCTCGCCAAGATGCGGTCCGAGGCGGAGGAGCTCGAGAGGCTCCGGGAGGGTCGCGGTTGCGACGTTTCGTCTGTTGCCGGCGGCGCCGCGACTGTTGGAGGAAGGGGGGAGGATCGATGAGGAGATTTGGAAGGGGGGGAGTATGAGGGAGGAGGAGGAGGAGGAGGAGATGAAGGAGAAGGAGGAATAATGGGAGACGGTTTTCGAAGTTATTCTGAAATCCCCAGGGGGCTCGGGAGAGATCTAGGGGAAGGAAGAAGAGGATGAAGATGATGGTGGTGATGAGGAGGAGGAGGAGGAGAAGGATAGGAACGCCAGGAGGAGGAGGAGAAGGATGAGAAGCAGGAGTGAGGAGGGATCAGGAGGAGGAGGAGGAAGAAGAGGACGAAGATGAGGAGGAAGAGGAAGCGGCGGCGGAGGTAGGAAGACAGCGAGGACGAATGGGAGGAGAGGAGGAGGATGAGGAGGAGGAGGAGAAGGAAGAGGAGGAGGAGGAGGCGGGGAAGGAGAGAGAAGGGAGGATAAGGAGGAGGAGCAGGAGGAATGGGAATAGTAGACCCGACACACCAATGATGCTGCGATGCGCCCTCCTGCTCAAAGCTTGGCCCTCAGAGGTCTACGCAGGTGTCCCCATGCAATGCAGAGGTGCCCGCCTCAAATGACATTCATGGTCAGAGCCTCATGTGTTGTGTGGTTGGGCTCTGCACTCATGAACAGAATATACCCTGCCCGCATTTCCGCTTTTGCCTCGTTATTGCCCTCCGCTTCCACATTCCTCCTCCTTCCCTCGGGTATCCCAGATGTTGTGCCGATGGGATGTTTGAACGTTTTCGTATCGGGGATCTCCCCAGCTGCTGACTTAACTCACGTGTGGGACGACCATCGGGTGCTCATTTCGTCCCCTCAGGTTTCCTCGTTCTCCTTGAAGTAATCGCGCTGAGCGGAAACAAGCAGCAACGGAACCGATGTTACGACGGGATGCATGATTTCAAGGAAACCGCCATCCACGCATCGAGTTGGCAGAAGTTTTCAGCAATACTTGCGCGGCTCCAGAAATGGAGAATGAATGGTATTCAAAGGAAGCCGCCTTCATCCGTACAAGTGTGGCCACCCTCAAGCTTCATGGCCGGAACAAGCAAAGAAGCCTCACGCGAGAGCCTGGATGTAAAGCGCGAGCTGCCTTTCATGTGTGTAGTCGGTGCATTATATCTTCCTGAAAAATCCACGGGAGGCTTGTCCAAAGGGGTTGTCTGGGGGGTTATCCAGATACCATCTGGGTTGTCGTAAGGGTTCCCCCGGGTAGGTCGACTTGTCGCAATTCATCAGACTGGGTTGCCCAGGTTACCCAGGGGGCTGTCTGTTTTTGTGATTGGATTTTTCCCATGGAGCATCGTAGGGTTCAAGCTGTCTGAGCACATCCGGTGAGGAAGGCTCGGGCGAGGGTTCTATAAGCTGAAAATCAGAGTTCGGCCGTCCCTACAGAGAGTGGGCGTTTGTCGTCAAAGCAGGGTCATAGTGACGGACCACCAGTCGCAGAAAGCAGTCTCATGTTGGCCAGCGTGGGACCCAAGCAGTACGTTTCGATCAATATATGTGTGGAGCAACTTTACGTGTAGTGCCATCCACGTGTGTTACCATCCATGTTGTGCAGCTTGTGCTCTGCAACAGCATTAACATATACTATGAGTATACAAGCTTAGATTGCGCACTGTGTGGTGCAATGAGTTTTGCAATATATATATATATATATATACATACCTGCGGGTGCACTTGCACCTGGTGCAAGATGTATGATATGTGTAGTATGTGTACGTATATGTTTGTTTGTACGTGTCAGTCTGTGTATGTGTATACATATGTGTATATGTATATGTGTATGTATGTGTGTATGTGTACATATGTGTAAGTGCGTCGTGTGGAGATATGTACGAACTGTGTATGTGTACATCTGTGTAAGCGTGTGTGCATGTATGTGCACATCTGTGTACGTATGTGTGTGCGCATCTGTATGTATGATATATGTGTGTATGTACATCTATGTGACAGAAGTGTACGTCCTCCCTCCACCTCCTCCTCCCTACTTCTAATACTACATACTAATACGTACTACTACGTACTGCTACGTACTACTACGTACTACTACGTACTACTGCGTACTACTACGTACTACTACGTACTACTACGTACTACTGGTTTCACTACTACTACTACTGCTACTACTACTACTACCACCACTACTACTACTACTACTACTACTACTACTACTACTACTACTATTACTATTACTACTACTACGACTACTACCGCTACTACTACTACTACTACTACTACTACTACTACTACTACTACTACTACTACTACTACTACTACTACTACTACGTACTACTACTACTACTACTACTACTACGTACTACTACTACTACTACTACTACGTACTACTACGTACTACTACTACTACTACTACTACTACTACTACTACTACTACTACTACTACTACTACTACTACTACTACTACGTACTACTACGTATTACTACTACGTATTACTACTACGTACTACTACGGACTACTACGTACTACTACGTACTACTACGTACTACTACGTACTACTACGCACTACTACTACTACTACTACTACTACTACTACTACTACTACTACTACTACTACTACTACTACGTACTATTACGTACAACTACGTACTGCTACGCACTGCTACGTACTATTTCGTACTACTACGTGCTATTACGTACTGCTACGTACTACTACTGCAAACACGTGCGTCCTCGTATTTCTCCTCCTCCTCCTCCTCCTCCTCCTCCTCCTCCTCCTCCTCCCCTGTCGGCGCCAGAGCGCTTTGCTCTTTTTGCTCGCAAGGCCTAGGTGCCCTAAGCCTCACGCCCCCAGTACTCGGCCAAGCGCGCCTGCCTGTCCGCTTTCAAAGGATGATGGCATCGAAACCACCACTGGTAGACGTAGCCCCAGAGCTCCACGTTCAGGTTGCCCTCGCCGTCACTCCCCCAGATTCCCTTCGGAATCCACTCCTTGATGCGAGACCACCGCTCATGGATAAGACCTGTGTTCACATCGAGTGTGCCATACCCGCGCACACGCGCCCTCTCATTCCATACCCCCTTGGAATGCACACATAATCGATGGCGTAGGCCATGCTCACGAGCCAGGCGGGCGTACAAACGAGCACCGTCAGAGACCAGCACCGACTTGTTCGCGACGTGGTCAAGGCCGCCCGACGCCAAGACGTCCTCGCGGCACTCTACCTGGGAGGAGGAAATCACTACAGGTCAGCTCCCTTGGCCCTCCACCCTCCCTGCCTTCATCGCCCCGTCTCCTCCTCCTCCTCCTCCTTCTTTTCCTCCTCCTCCTCGTCCTCCTCGTCGTCGTCGTCCTCCTCGTCCTCCTCCTCCCTCCTCTGTCCCACCCCCTCCCTCCCCTCTCCCCCATCTCTCCTTCCGACGAAGGCAGGGGGGTGGAGGGTCAAGAGAGCTGGCCTGAACTGTTTTACTCCTCACACTACCGGGCACACGGCATTGGGCGCAACCTTTTTGACGGGCACGTTGCTTATCCTACTCCATGTCATGTGAGGATGTCTCGAACGAGAGGCCCATAGAGGTGCAGGAATCAGTGAATTGCGATGTTCGCATGTATGAAGAAACTGCAAGAACCATGTAGAAAAACAGCACCAAAAAGCACAGTGTTTTTTGGTAGTGGTCCCCATGCTAATCTGTATATCACCAGGAGCTACAGTCACGGACCCCTCCCTCCAGTAGGCCATCCAGCATGTACGACGCACTACCACCTACGACCTTGTCCAACTGCCCAGCCGCAACAATCTAGTAACGAACCACAACGCCTCGGAAACGAGATGATCACCTTGTACCACTGGTGATAGGACGAACACGAACCACGCACTACAACGAACTACAGTTACCACCTAACACAACCTAGTACGAACAATAACCACCTGCGACGTACCACCAACCAACAAACATCATCAGTGACGCACAACACACACCTACATCGAACGATGGTGACGATCAGGACCACCTACGAGAGAACCACCAGGTGCAAGTGCACCCTTTAGTATATATTTATATATATATATATATACAAGCCCAGTTCCTTAGAAGGAAGTCAGAACCTCTAAGTGCGAGTTCTGCCAGGGGGAAATGGACAACATTTCCACCGCGCACCACGAGTTTTTCGAACTGCTCCACTCGAAGGGCCGCGGCGGTTACGCGAGGCACTTGTTTTGGAACGGTGCCGCTCTCCATCAATGCAGCTATTGGGGATTATCAGACGCATATGCGCGGTGCAGAGGCGAATTTCACATCTTGACGATGACCGGCTCCTAATCCGCGTGTCGTCTGGGCGCGTCAAGCTCCAGACATATCACGCCGGGAGGGGAAGCGAGATGTCTAGCCCGCCCTGCCGACACGCTTAATTGTGCGACGCGGGGGCGCTACTCAGAAGGAGCAGAGATCGAGGAGGACGAGGACGTTTGCAAATCTATTGTGTGGGGGGGTCCCTGCGATTGTCCGGATGCTTGTCCCACAGCGTCGGCGGCTTTCTGGAGGCGCCCTCGGACGATTCCAGAGACTCCCTGGACTTTTTTTGTCAGCGGGATGGAGGGAAGATCTGCTTCGGGGAGGGCAAGGGGGGGGGGGGCGCCGTTGCAGGGCGCGTCGTCTCGGACAGCTGGTCGGATGGTGCCAGGGAAGGGTCCAAGGACCGGCTCCAGAGGAGGACCGGCAGCAGGGGGAGCGGCAGCATCGGGAGGCGCGCAGCAGCCTCAGGATGAGGACCAGCACCATCAGGAGGAGGAACCAGGAAAAGGGAGGAGGGGGAGCAGCAGCAGCAGTTGCAGCAGCAGCATGAGGAGGAAGAAACGGCGGAGGAGGAAGCGGAGAAAAAGCAAGAGTAAGGGGGCAAGCAAGCCGAGGAGGACAAGGAGGCGCCGGAGTAGGAGGAGGAGGAGGAGGAGGAGGAGGAGGAGGAGGAAGAGGAGGAACAGGAGGAGGAGGAGGAACAGGAGGAGGAGGAACAGGAGGAGGAGGAGGAGGAACAGGAGGAGGAGGAACAGGAGGAGGAGGAGGAGGAAGAGGAGGAGGAGGAGGAGGAGGAGGAGGAGGACCAGGAGCCGCAGGATGCGAACTACGCTGCCGTGGCGTCAGGAAAGGTTCTGCGGCAAGCCATGGGAGCGCCATGAGGCGGCCGGAAATTGACTGGGATGCTCCAGAACTCCTGCCAGACTCTCCTGGATGTGCACGAGCGCGCACAGCTCTCCACATCGGCATCCCGTCCCCGAGCGATTTCCAAGAGCTCCCCCTCCCAGCCCCCCCCCCCCCTCCTCCGAACCCGGCCTTTCCTGGCTCCGGGGCAGGGACAGCCTGCCGGAGAGCGAAGGCCAAAGGCCAGACCCCGCGCAAGAAACAAAAAAATACAGCGGCCGCGCGGCTGCCATGTGGGCGCCCCCCCTCGCCGCGCTGGCCCTGCTCGGGCGGCGAGGTCTGTGCCCCGTCCGCCGCCCCGTCCTCCTCCTCCTCCTCCTTCTCCTCCTCCTCCTCCTCCTCCTCCTCCTCCTCCTCCTCCTCCTCCTCCTCCTCCTCCTCCTCCTCTCCTCCTCCCCTCCTCCTCCCTCCCCTCCTCCCTCCTCCTCCTCCTCCTCCTCCGCCTCCTCCTCCTCCTCGTGGCCGGGCCCGCCCTGGGCCCAGGATCGGGCCGGGCGAAAGGGGGGGATTGGGAAACGGGGGGGTTACGAAATCTGCTGCATGCAGCTGGTTTCGGCCTCACCGAGGGGCCCATGCCTCGATACACAGCCGCCTCCGGCGCCGGGAGGCGCCGGGAAAATCAGCTAGGTGAGCTGATTCTCAAGTCCCCCCTTTGCTATCCCCCCCTTTTGCCCGACCCGACAGGAGCGGTGCATGCGGTGTACGCCTCCCTGCGGGCCAAGCCAAGAGATCGGGGGCGGCCAAGAGGGGGGGGAGGGCCAGGGGGGGGGCATCGTGGCGGGGGCATCTCCCCAGATGTCATGGCGCCTCCTCTCGTTCCGTGACGTCCCCGGCTCCCCCTTGGGCCGCGCGCGTGCCGCCGGCCATGATTTGCGCCTTCCCCTCTTGGACGCCCCCCTCTTGGCCGCCCCCGAGTGCGGGCCAAGCCACGAGAACGCACCGTCGGGCACTCGGCCCAGCGTGACGCTCCACCAGGTTCTGCCCCACCACGCTTCGGCGCAGCACGCCATCCCCTCCGCGGCCCCCCGGCGTCCGCGTCCCGAGCTCTCCGAGCCTCCCGTGGAGCGGAGCGACACCCTATCCGGTCGCAGGGCGCAGCGTGTCACTGGGCCCGCCGCGGCGACACGCGACCGTACACAGTATGCACCGCTCCTGGGAGTCCCAGGATGGGCCTGGCCATGGGGCAGTGGATGTGTCGCCGCGCCGCTTGTTCCGACGCGCGGCCTCATGTCTTGGGGAGGGAGCCGCGGGCACCAGGGCAAACGCTGCCTCCGGCGCGGTGGGCTTGCCGTGGGGTTTGCCGCGGTGCCTGCCTCGTCCATTTGGGGCTCGGGGCGCAGGGCTTGCCGTGGGCTTGCTGTGGTGTCGGCGTCGTCCACTTGGGCGCGTTGAGGACAAACGGCGCGGCGACATACAGTCGGGCCGCTGAAGAAGGAACCCATTTCGTTGGGGAGAGGCTCAGTGTCCCTTAATTGTTTTACAGTTTGTCTTAGGTTTCCCCGAGGTTTTTCATAGGAAATCGAAGTGTTCAAGTTATGGGTTATGGAGACAGGGGCCTCGTTCCTCATTCAGGGTTCCTCATGACAGCGCTTCGACTGAATGCGCAGATCTCGCCCCCCATCCTCTTGCCCCTCGCGGTCCGACCCTGCGGATCCTCCCCGTCCCGCGACACCGACGAGGGCTCCTGCGGCGCTCCCTCCGAGGAGGAGGAGGAGGTGGCCGCGCGGGAGGCCCAGGAGGCGGCGGCCCTTCGGGCCGAGCTCCTGCAGAAGGCCCACGTGGCCCGCCGCGGCGCCGCCGCGCTCGCCTGGCCCGAGTGGCCCGCCTCGCCCGACTCGCCGGGGCCAGCGCCGGCGCCGCCCGCCAGCGACCCGAACTTGGCTCGCGCCTCCGAGGTGCGGAGGAGGCACAGGTATACCGATACCGCCACCCAGTGTTCGCCTCTTGGGGCGCCTCCCGGGGCCCTCGTCGCCATGGCTGGAGTCGCCTCGAAATTTATTTCAGAACGCACCCCAGGAGAGGTCCGGGGAGTAAGCAGTATTGGCACCTTGTGGTTGCCTTAGAGGTGTGCGTCGAGAACAGGGGGGGGTTCAGGCTCAGCTTCGAGTTGTGGGACACGGAGACGAATCAGCGCATGCCGGCGACGGCCGCGTACGCCATGGGTGGGCAGGATTGCCGCAGTCTCGGCGCGATGCCTATGATCGAGGCTGGGCACCCCATCGTGGCTGTCGTCTACATCGAGGCGGGCGCGACTATCACCCTGAGCCCCGTCATCTACGACCCAGACCTTAACGAGACGGCAGGCTCCGCGACTCTCACGTGCAGGGGTGGCACAGGCACGCCGACGTGCTTGATGGACGACGCCGAGGTGCGGCAGTTACCACCACCCCAGCTGGCAACTTGGCAGCCAGTGGTGAGGGCGAGCCAGATCTGCCTTACGAATAACGGCGGCTACCGGCTACGTTTCCAGTTGTGGAACACCGCGTGGAACACGTTGTCGCCGATGTCCGACAGTTTCGACCTCGGGAGCAGCAAGTGCATGTCCGCAGATTTCACCAGCGGGCTGCAGGAGGGCAATCCGCTGGTCCCAATCACTCATGTACAGGGAGGCATGCCCCAGATGTTCCACTCCGTCCTCTATGACGCCACCGCTTCCGCCGCCAGCTACAACTGCGGAGGTGCAACCGGCGGATACTCGTGCACGCTCTTGGGTGTGTAGTCGCGATGCGGGTCTCAGTTGCACCATGCGGATCCTGGCCGCGCTCGTAGGCAGGGGAGGAGCTTGGCAGGAGGAGGAGGAGGACGAGGAGGAGGATGGGGCCCCTCTTCGTGTCGCAATTCCGTCGCTCTCCTTCTTATCCTCAAGGGACGACCCCTTCCGTTTGGCCGCTGGGCGGCCCACGTTTGCGGCTCCCGCCCCCCACTCCAGCACCCAGCGATGCTCTGCTGCCAGGTCAAGGATGTGCGGGGGCGAGGGTGCCAGGGCTCGTCCCCGGGCCGTCCGCAGCTGCGATCGGCGGTGAGCGAGGGGGGGAGTGAGAAGGAGAAGGCCTTCTCAGAAGGCGGTGGGGCTTCTCAGAAGGCCTGGAACACTTCTCCGGAGGCCAGGGGACTTCCGAGCATTCTACGCAGGCCCGCACCTTCTCACTCCCCCCGCCCCGGCTCGCCGCCGATTCGAGGCCAGGGGCAGCGGGGCCTGGAGGATGAGGAGGAGGAAGAGAAGAATCTTTGGGGATCGTCGCTCTCTCTCTCTCTCTGCCTTTCCGGGCGCCTCCCCCCGAGGGCTGGTGTCTCTATAATGTAGCTTCCGTCCTGGCCGCGCGGGCCGGCACGCCAGCCGGGGCGGTCTTCGGGCGGCCGCCCCGCGCGCCCGCTTCAGCACAGCGGCCAGCGGTGGCTGCAGCGGCTTCTGAAGCATCGCCAGCGGTGCCGCCCTCGTCCTCCTCTCTTAGGTCGGGCCGGGCGAAAGAGGGGGATAGGGGAAGAGGGGCTGGACGAAACAGCTGGTTTCGGCCCCACCGAGGGGCCCATGCCTCGATACACGGCCGCGCCGGGAAAATCAGCTACAAGAGCTGATTCTGACCCCCCCCCTTTGCTATCCCCCCCTTTCGCCCGGCCCGATCAGGCATCCTGCATCCTGGATGGGCTCCGAGTGGATGGTGTCGAGGGGTCGCGCCGCATCGCCGATGCCTCGCCGATGCGGCTCGATGCGGTGCTCGAGTTTTCTCAAGCTGGCGTCGCCGATGCACCGCCGACGTCACCGATGCATCGCCTATGCTGCGCGATCCTCCGACTCCATCTGCTCGGACACCATCTGGGAGGCCTCTATCTGTCTCCTTTCGCAGGCGATTTTCTCTCCCCCAACTCCCGAGTTCCGCTCAGAAAGTTTGGCCGCTCAGAAAAGAGAGTGAAACTCTGGGATACACCATACACCCCGAGGGGGCCATTCGGACGCACCCTTGTCGAAGATGGACGCCCCCCCATCATGTATCCCAGGGTTGGGCCCCAACTTGCAGGTCCGGTCGAAACCCTCCCGAAGTCGGGGGTTGGTGTCGCCATGCCCCTCGCTATCCCTCTCATCGAGACTAACAACAACCCGAACCTCAATAACACAATGAAGGCATTGCCTAACCTGGGCCTCCAGTGTTGCATCAGGGATATCAGGTCTGGGCGGTTTGGTTCGGATGCATCTGCTGAAAAAGACTCCTATCCCTAATGGTGTTGGCCCTTAGGTCCCCTCCCAAAGGGTTCGGGGTCCTCTTATTTCTAATCGTCCTCATCCTCCCTCTCTCGATCCCCATTTCCCCCCCGCCCTCCGCCCCTTCCTTGCCCCTCCCCCTACTGTCCTCACGCCCCCCCGCACTCCGCCCCCGCCAGCTGCTCGAATTACAAGCAATGCTGGTTCATCGACGATGGATTTCACGGGATTGAGTGCTGCTCCGGAGACGGCCAGGGCCACAGGTTCGGATCAGCTCGGTCGCGGGAGTGCTTCATTATGGGGGCCGCCCGCGAGGGATGCTGCTGCTACGACCGAGCTGACTGCTGTGGCTGTCAGCCACAGCAGGCCCGCCGTCCAGAGACGTAGAGTGTAGTCAAGTGCTGTTTGGTATGTATCTCTCAGGAGGGGAAAAAACACACAGACACAATTATTCGTCCACTCCCAGGAAAATATGGGAAAATCTGGGAAGTGGGGGGAAGACAGAAACCCAGAAAATATGGGAAAATATGGGGAATATTTTTATTTGTGTGTATTTATTTGTGTGTCCTGGGGCCCCTTCAATCTCCTCCCCCTTCTTCTCCATCCGTCTCCTCCCTCCCCTCCCCCTCTGTCCGCCCCGGCTGCTCCCGCTTCCCTCCGGCTTCTTCTCCCGAGCCTGCTTCTCCAGCTGCTCATGCGCCCCCGCTCTCCCCCCCCCCCGCACCCCCCTCTTCTCAGGAGCGAAAGAAGGACGTACATGTACATGAATCCACGCTGGTTTCGAGAGTTCGCATTGCGCGAATGTTCGTATCGCGCGGCAGGTCTCGCGGGTCAAGGGGCCGTGTTCATGTACATACCTGGGCGCGTACGTCCTGTGTTGTGCTCCCTATCTCCTCCTTGCCTTCCGTCTCCTCGGGGACGGGGAAGGGCCTCTTCCCAGAAGGGACCCCCCCCAGGCTGAGCTCTGAAGAACGTGCACCATCAGCCTAGGTGGACATCACTCTGCCCACCACCACCACCACCCGTCCTCTCCCAGGCCTCCTCACTGGGTCCTGAGCGGACGGAGTCGCAGGCTTGAACGGCACCGCCGATGCATCGGTGATTCTCCGAGGCCAGCGCGATCCAGAGCCAGATTGTCTCTGGACCGAACGTCCCGTGCGCATCGCCGATGCAGTGGCGATACGGTGCGATCCTCTGGCCTCGTCACCTCCGCCCCGCTCTGGGCAGCTTGTCTCCAGATGCTACAGGACTGAGGAAGAAAGACGCCCAAGGCCCAAGCATACTGCATAGAAGCACAGATGCACCACGTCGAGAGGCCTCCAATCTCCACCCCCTGCCCTTCACCCTCGCGGTTCCGTCCCTGCCTGATCGAGACCGTCGCGGCGAAGGTGGCGGCGGAGACGGCAGCGACGACGACGCCGCGGCGAGCGACGCGAGCGACGGTGACCGCGACGACCGAGGACCAACGAAGAAGGTAGGTGACGGCACCAACGACGAGGGACATCGAGCGACGACGACAATCGACGAGCGGCGAGCGAAGAGTGGCAGCAGTCGACGAGCGACGAGCGACGACGAGCGACGAGAGAAGACGAGCAGCGGTGGCAAAAACTGCGAACGAGGACCACGACGGACGACGACCAACGACGAACGTGACAGCGCCGACGGCGAGCGAGGGCCACAACGACGACCACGAGCGACGAGCGGCAGCAGTGGACGATCGACGACCGAAGACGAGGATGACGGCACCGACGATGAGCGACATCGACCACGAACGACGACCACGACGAGCGACGACGAAGGTGACGGCGAGCGACGGCGAGCGATGAGCGAGGACGGCGAGCGACGAGCGACGACCACGAGCGACGACGACGACGACGAGCGACGGCGAGCGACGAGCGACGGCGAGCGACGAGCGACGGCGAGCGACGAGCGACGACGTCGGGCGGGCGACGTGCATCGACCAGCGGCGACGAGCGACCCCGTCGAGGAGCAGCGGCCGCGCGCGGCGCCCGCGCAGGCAGGTCGGCCCCCTGGACGGCGCCTGAGGTGGGCGGCGGGGCACGCGCGTGCGCGGCCGCCTTGGAGCCCCCCCCCCTGCCGCGGGGAGGGCAGCGCCCAGCGCGCGCCGAGCCCGGAGATACCTGGCGCGGCAGTGCTTCCACACAGCGGCCGCTCTCGCCCGACGCCCGATAGGTCGGGCCCCCCTAGGGGCCCTCACGGATCGACCTGGCTCGACAGACGGCGCAGAACGACGGGCTCTGATAGGGCTCCTGGGTCCTGACTTCGCACGGGGCAGAGCGTTCCGGAGCGCTCCGAGAAGGCCAAGGCGCTGGAGACATCCTCCAGAGCTGCCGGAGCTCAGACATCCCCAATTCATCCTCACCCGATGTCATCCTCGTCCTGGCTTCGTCTTGTGTCTAGGGCTCTGGGGTCTGATCTTCCACGAGGTTCCAACTGTTTTCCAAGCACGTCGGATTTCTCAGGGAAGGGTAGCGCCCGTAGCGCGCGCCGGGAGTTGGGGGGCCAGGTGGGGGGAGGCGGAGTTGGGGGGCCGTGGTGCCCCAGCACGGGTTCTAGATGGGGCGTTCCAAAAAGGGCCTTACCTTCGAGCATCGAAGGAGTTGCCACCGCTTCCCGCGGCGGAAGCTGGCGGAAGCAAAGCAGGGCGCCTCCGCCGGCGGAAGCCGGCGGGAGGCTGGCGGCCGGCTGGCGGCCGGCGGCGGAAGTATAGAGCTACCCTCCAGGAGATGGCAGCATTTTTGGGTTTTTGTTCGGGAGCCGCTATGGGCGAGCAGGGCTTCGGGGGGGCAGGCTCGCCGTTTTGGGGTCCGAGCGGGTTTTTTTCTGCCTTCTGCGGCCTCCCAGAGGGGCCGCTGTTTCGGGCCCACACGGGTCAGAAGGCCGTGCCGCATGGCCCCCGGGAGGCATCCGGGGGCTCTTAAGGGCGGATCCTTAGCTTTCTGGCGCCCTGGCCAGTACTAGGGGAACAAAAACTCGGAGGTCCGCGCGGATTTCTCGGATTGGCGCTGGACCCCCCTTCCTGGCGCGCGGAGCGCGCCAGGGGCGGCGCCGGAGGCGCCGCCGGGGGGCCCCAGCGCCGATCCGAGAAATCCGCGCGGACCTCCGAGTTTTTATATTTATGTCACTTTTTGTCTCCTTAAGTACAGACCCCCTGGCCGCCGCCAAAATGCAGCCAACACTCTGGGATGACCCGGAGACCCGGGCGCTGAAACTTTTCCACGGCGGGCGCTTCACATCCGAGGCTCGGGCCCTGCGGCAATCGCAGACGGGTGCGGCTCGAAGCTGCCGGAGGAAGGTGGGTCCTCTGGGGCTCGGCTCGCGATTCTTCGCGAAGGCGTCTATGCTTTTCGCGACGTCGGATCCCATGAAGGGCCCGCTTTGGCTCCCAGGGGGCTCGGTGCTCCTCCTGTTCGGGGATGCGGGCTCAGCACGTCGTGTCGCCTGCTTCGGCCCACCCCGCTTCCGGAGCCCTCCCGCGGGGAGGGGGTGCCCACCGCGCGCTGAAAGAGCGCGGTCAGCACTTTGGGATGGGGTCCATTTGGGTCTCGAGAGGGGGTCGGTGCTCCCTACGGTCTGAGGCTCTTGCTTAGCGTGTCTCGCCGATGAGCTTTGCAAGCGGCACCGTTGTAAGTGCAAGAGATGGCTGCCGTATGCGTTCTAGCAGCTTCGATGAGACTTGCGCAGATTCGCCGTATGGAGCCTGATACTGAGTTATGAGTGGCGTGATGTTTGAGGCAAGCATGTGATGATCGGCAGGGGCTGCCAGGTTTATACTCAGCCACTGGTCCCTGGGAAGCCGAAACAAATCAGACAATTGCTCCCAGACTCCTGCTCAGCGGAGTGGATCGACACGCGATCCGCTTGCAGGGCATGGCGTGTCGCCAGGGCCGTCCCCGCGACACGCCGAGGAAGCATGCCCGACCCTCTGGCCCACGCGGGTCTCAACACTGTTGAGACCTGCGAACACCCTGTCAGGGGGTTCGCTGTCTCTCGGGTCCTGGATGTCGGTCTTCCTCTGGCGCTCTTCGTGCACCCAGGCGCAGCTGAGGCCCAGAGGGGGCGTCGTCCTTGTCCCAAGGTTCCTCGTGGCCAGGCGTCGGCTATGGCAAGGAGTGGAACTCCCAGTCCCCATCGCAGTGTGCTTCCTGCGCCCTCGAGGCGTAACATAATCGAGTGCATGGCGTGCTCTCCGCGTGCCTTCCTCTTCAGAGGGGCGGGCGGCTCCCCTCCCAGTTCTTTTCAGAGGGGCAGGCGGGCACTCAGCGCCTTCCTGCTTGATGTTCCCAACCACCTGTTCCGAGCGGTGGGTGAGGCTTGGAGGGTGCGGGTGGGCGAGCCCTGAGATTTGGGCGCTGCAATATGTCTCCCGCCGGGGGTTTTCGCCCGAGCCACGTCTTGGAAGAGCGGATGTCCGGCAATGGGGGGGGCAATGGGAGGGGGGGACGGGAGCTAGGACGAGGAGAAATCCGTTCCAGAGCCGCCGCATCTCAGAGATTCTCGATTCATCATCGCCCGATTTCAGCCTTGTCCTGGCTTCGTCTTGGGGGGATGCCAATGGTGTGGGGGGGATGGGGGGCAAAGCTGCTGCGTGCGGCTGGTTTCGCCCCCGCGGCTGGGCGCTCCTCGGCGCACTGGCACGCCTCCTGGCCCCGAGCGGCGCCCGGACAGCCAGGCACATGCCTTTGGTTCGCCAGCCCCCCTTCGCTGTCTGCCGGGGCGATCGGGATTCGGACTGGACGAATGGGCACGATAAGGAGGGGAGGGGGAGGGGGAAGAGGAGGAGGAGGAGGAGGAGGAGGAGGAGGAGGAGGAGGAGGAAGAGGAGGAGGAGGGAGGAGGAGGGGGAGAGGGGGAGAGGGATGGAGGAGGGATGGAGAAGGAGGAGGAGGAGGAGGAGGGGAGGAGGAGGAGGAGGGAGGAGGAGGGATGGAGGAGGATGGAGGAGGGATGGAGGAGGGATGGAGGAGGGAGGAGGAGGAGGAGGAGGAGGAGGAGGAGGAGGAGGAGGATGTCTGTTGCGTGCAGCCAGTTTCGGCCCCGCCGCCGAGGCCATTCCTAGACACACGGGCGCCTCCCGGCGCTAGGTGGCGCCAGGCAAACCAGCTATGTGAGCTGATTTTCTGCTGCGAACTTTTCGGGGCGATCGAAATGGGTACGGAAAAAAGTTGTACTTTCCCGCCGCTCGTTTCCAATCTGATTCTTCATACCGCAGGAGTCGATCTTCTTTTGTGACAGCGCCCCGCGTCTCCTCTCCTTCCTCCCCCTCCTCCTCCCACCCTTGCCCCTGCTCTCTGCATGTCAAACATTTCAGCGCACCGAGTACGGCATTGCTTCGTCCCATAGGGAGCTCCACCGAAGGCCCCAGTGGTTGTGATCACATGCGTCCCCCGCCATCCAGTGCGGCGTTTTGCAGCCCCATAGGGGGCTCCACCGAAAGCCCCAGAGGCTGTGATCACATGCGCCCCCCGCCACCCAGTACGACGTTTCGTGGCCCCATAGGGAGCTCCACCGAAGGTCCCAGTGGCTTTGATTACTTGCGCACCCCGCCACCCAGTACGGCGTGCCGCGGCCCCATAGGGAGCTCCACCAGAGGCCCCAGTGCCACAGTGGCTGTGATCACATGCGTCCCCCGCCACCCAGTACGGCGTTTCGCGGCCCCATAGGGAGCTCCACCGAATGCCCCAGAGGCTGCGATCTCATGCGTTTCGCGCTACACATTACGACGCTTCGTGGCCTCATATGGAGCTCCACCGAAGGCCCCAGTGGCTGTGATCACCCGCCACCCAGTACGGCGTCTCGTGGCCTCATTGGGAGCTCCACCGAATGTTCCAGTGGTTGTGGTTTCATGCGTCCGCGATTCGAGGGCTCACAGGGAGCTCCACCGAAGGCCCCAGTGCCCCAGTGGCTGTGATCACATGCGCCCCCCGCCACCCAGTACGGCGTTTCGTGGGCCCATAGGGAGCGAAGGCCCCAGTGGCTGTGATCTCATGCGCACCCCGCCACCCAGCAAGCGTTTCGGGAGTCACAGGGAGCTCCACCGAAGGCCCAGTGGTTGTGAGTACATGCGTCCCCCGCGAGCTCCACCAGAGGCCCCAGTGATTGTGATCACGTGCGTCCCGCTCCACCCTGTACGGCGCTTCGTGGCCCGATAGGGAGCTCAACCGAATGCCCCAGTGGCTGTGATCGTACTCGTCTCCCGCAACCCAGTACGGCGCTCCGCGGCCCCCTGGGGACCTCCTCCGAAGGCCACAGCGGCTGTGATCACATGCGCCCCCGTCATCTAGTAAGGCGTTTGGTGGCCCCATGGGGAGCTCCACCGAAGGCCCCAGCAGCTGTGATCACACGCGTCCCTGCCACCCATTTCGGCACCTCACACGTGTCGTGGCTCCATGGGGAGCGCCATCTACAGCCCCAAGCAAGGGCTGCGCTCGCATGCGTCCCTGCCGCATCTTTCAGCACACCGCTCAAGCGCTTCGTGACCCCATAGGGAGCCCCACCGAAGAAGATACGTAGCACTGCGGCACTCACAACTGCACACGGTTTCGTCCTTCGCCAGGGCAGTTGCTATTTGTGACTCGTTTGGCGGGCCTGAACCCAATCTGCTTTATCCGCGTTCCTGCTTCATGCTTCTATCTACCGGAAGCAGTTCCAGACCATGTTTAATAAGCAGGTGTGTTGTCGATGTCGCCACGGACGTTGTTCATTCAGAAGGTTGTCTGCCCCACAGCCGCCGCCGTCGGTTTTGGAAAACACCTGTTGTTGGGCATCGTACCCAGTCCATTCGGACCCCTTTCGGGCGTCCAAATTTTTCTCCCGCCCCGAGCAGCTGGTGGAGGGGGAGGGCTCGAACAAATCGTGCTGGAGGCTCTTTCCTTTGTCTCGGCATCCAGGTGGAATGCAGTGGCCCCCAGGAGGTCCAGGAGCCAGCTCTGAGCGGGCTGTGGTCGGCGGAGAAGGAGGGAGGATGAGGGTGGCTGGACCCAGACATTTGGCGGCTCGATGACAGATTCGAGACGGCAGTTCCGCCAGCATGCAGGACTTTCGAGCTTGCTGTTGCCAGGAG